CCTTATAGAAGAAAGCCAACTGAAAAATGTAGAAAGCCCCAGGATTAGAGAACCACTACTTAGCAAATATAATAATAACTGATTCAGGTAAGAATCATCAATGGATACTAAAACTAGTGAGTGAAGCTGAGAAGTAACAGGATATTTACATGATCTTAAAAGCATTTCCTAACAAGATATTTATTTAGATACAAAGAAAAAACAGTGGAGAAACCTAAAGGACACCACCTAATCCAAGTTATTATTGTTTTTTTAATCCAAGTTATTAAGGCTAACATCTTCATTAACAGAACAAATTAACATCCTGCCCCTCCTGATCTAATGTACTATGCAGAATCCAGTAGCACTTCAACCCTATCATGAGGAATATCAGGTGAATCCAAATAGAGAGATTGCACTATATGCTTAATGTCAATGTCATATATGTTTTTTAATATTTTTGTTTAATAAGTTTCTTTACTAGTATGTCACAAAACACAAGAACACTAGAAAGACTGAGACTCCAGATTAAATAGGACTAAGACATAAAACTGGAAAATGCATAATCCAGGATTTTATTGTTGTTTATTTTAAGGAGGATGTTGGGATATTTGATAAAATCTGTATAAGATTTATATATTATATAAGTTACATAATTATATAATGTTAAATTCCTGATTTAAAATTGTATATTTATATACACCGTTGAGCTTTTTTGAAATATATTGTTTTTATGGATTAAAGGGACATCATATATACAACTTATTCTCCAAGAGTTAAGACAATGTATAGAGAGGTGCAGGAGGTAGAGAAGGATAACAGAAATATGGTAAAATATTCACATGTGGAAAGTGGGTAAAGGGCATATAAGAATTCATTGTACTATTTATGCAACTTTTATCTAAGACTAATATTATGTCAAAATAAAGTTATCAAAAATGTTATGTAGCTCAATTTTCACTAAGCCAGGAAACCTTCTCCATAATTAGGGTAAATAACTGAGGTTTTATTCCATACTTTCTTTGATTTTCTCCAAGGATACTATGTCCTTCCCTCTTGAAGTCAGTGTGGCAATCATGGTTGGGACAGGTGGGAAAAAGAAACTAATTAAAGTTAGGCACAAGACTAAAATTGTTAAAACACCAAGTTCTGTTTCCATGACAGAAGAATCAATAACATTTGACCTTGAAAGCAATCTAGGAAAAAAAACTTATAAATCTAACTAAATAAAATGTAAAATTTCTACATGGAATATACACATTTTAAACACAGAAAAAAAGGAGGCAGATCTACATATACTGATATAGAAAGAAATCCATAGGTAGGTGAAAAGT